ATCAATAACCTGCACTCTTTCGAGTGCATGTTTTAGTGTATCATCACGCGACTGCTCCAGGGGAAAGTCTTTACACCGGGAAATTCCCAGCCCTTCCCCTGAGTCAGCGCGTGACGTCACTGCTTGGGATTCCCCCAGCTGAGCGACTCGCCCCCTATCCAGCGATTTCTTCTTCCAAGAAACACCCGCACATAAAACTCCCAATAATCTATTAAATCCAGGCCAATTAGTTCCCAGAATTAGCGGGTGTTTGAGGTGCGGGTTAACCGCTACCTCTACACTATGTTTTTTCCCCCGGAATTGAATATCTATTGCCGTTAGCGGGTAGTGAATAACATCCCCGTGCACACACCTTACCCTTACAGTGCGGCTCGTATCCAATGCCGGGTCTTGAAGCAGGCTTTGATGGATGGAGGTTTGGTTACACCCCGAATCCACCAAAGCTTGATATGTACCCCCTTTTATACTCACAGGTATCCGGTATAACCCGTCGCGACCGGGGGCGACTATTGGCGTGGCGGGAACGCGAATCAGCGCACTCACCTCCTTCATGGAGCAAACTTTTGGTGCGCTATCCTCGTGCCCGCGGTGCCAATACCTCGGCCCAGACATTCTCACTATACCCCCGGGGCCAGCAGTATCAACCGATTGAACCGGAGAGAGACCTGTCATTGTCTGGGGAACCGCCAGGGGTCGTGGCTCCACCCCTCCATCCAGATAGGGCCCCGCCCCCCTTGGGACGTTCAGCGGATCCGCCTCTGTGCACCGCCGCCTGGGTGCTGGTGTGGGCGGTCCCCGCCGTCTGGGCCTGGGAACAGGAGGAGAGAGAGAGAGAGGGGGAAGAGAGAGAGAGAGAGAAGAGGTTCTTTCGCCAACCCTGGACCTCGCCACCAGGTGATCCTCCGCCAGTCGGATAGCCGTCTCCAGATCATCAGGCCGGTGGCACTGGACCCACTCCGATGTTCGGGAGGGGAGGCGGGTGATGAATTGCTCCAGCACCACGGCATCCACCAGTTGGGCGGTGGTTCGGCCATCCTGTACCAGCCATCTGCGGCAGGCGTCACGGAGCTGCTGGGCGAACGCAAAGGGCCGGCCGCCTTCAGCCAAAACCAGCGATCGGAAGAGCTGACGTTGCTCCTCCGGGTTGCGGCCGGCCCGCTGGAGAATAGCTCGCTTCAGATGAGCGTATTCCAGGAGATTCTGGGCCGGTAGCTGCTGTGCGGCGATCTGGGCTTCGCCCGAGAGCAGCGGGATGACTCGTACCGGCCACTCAGCCCGCGGCCAGCCACACGCCTCAGCTATCTTTTCAAAAAGATCCAGGAACACTTCCGGGTCATCCTCCAGCGCCATTTTCTGTAGCATATAGGGAGGGTGGGCGGTAGATGTTGAAGCGGGCTGGATCTCCTGGGTCAGCAGACTCCGGATTACCTCGGGTCCTCCCGCTGGGCCTCCATGAGGACTTGGAAACGATGTTCTAGATCTTTCTTCAACTCCACCAGCGCATGATGTTGCTCCTGATGGAGAACCGCGAGCGCCTGGATGACTTCCGCACATGGATTAGTAGACGGAGTAGACATTCTGGCAGCGAAGTTTCTTCTTCTTCCCGGGTTTCGGCACCACTGTAATAACGTTCGTTGTTGAGGGAAGAAGAAGACAGGGTCGGCGATTCAGGTAAGCAAATATTTTATTTCTTGTTTAATGCCACCACACAGGTAACGGTGTATGTGTGTGTGTGTGTGTGCTCTCTCCTCTCCCGACTGCTCCTCCCGTTCTCCTTAAGAAGGGAGTCTCTCCGGCCCAATCACTAGAAAGACAGGTGTTATTTATCATTTCTGATTGACCCGCTGATTAGCCGCCGGGCTCCTAGCATGCTCTCCCCCCTGATTGGGTGTTCGATCACGCTTACCTCTCCACAACAGCATTTTAGAGACCTCCCCTGCACGCCTGCGGTTAAAAACAATGATTCTGGTGAGTGTTGCTTAGGTTAGTTCTGCATAGCTTTGAGTAGATGCGGTCTCTTGCAGTTTCTGAAAAGCTGCATGTGCAGTTTTGTCAAGGTGTCGATGAAGGGACTGGACATCCTGAGTAAAGGGCAGTGTTGAGGGCTTGTTAAATTTAGCTTCGCTCAATGTCACCAAAGCGGTGTGAGAGATCATCTCTGACCACTTTGAAGAGTAGAGCTTTTTAAAGGTCTCTGTAGATGCGATCAAGTCCTTGTCTTCAGACATCAGTGCCCGGCAATGAATGATTTCACAGATCTTAATTAGTGAATGCCCCAGTTTTAAAGCAAGACTCGGGCTTTGGTAGCAGTGACTTTCTTCATCATAGCCAGATACTATCTGAACTGCTCTAATGAGTCTATGAAAATTGGCAGGCTTAATAGATTCTTCAAGACTGTAGACAGAAAACTCTCTGCGCAAAGTCAACAACAATCGTCCAACCTCACGTAGTTTTTGACGAATGTACTCAAATTTGGTGGGGTCATGCCCGTGTTTATTAAAAAACGACTGTGCAAGCTGAAGAATACTCAGGTCATTTTTAACAACAGCAGAAATGTCATCCTGCTTCATCACACCCAAGAGTTTCCAGACACCTTGAGAAATGTGCTGACTGAATAAAGAGTCCGCTATAGACACAAGACCCAGAACTCTTCTCCTTCCTTCAGTTTCACTGTCTGCTGGTTTCAAAGGACATCTTTTCAAATGACGCCAGAGATCTCTTCGTACAAACATTCCTTTGCAGTGTATGCAATGAACAAAATTCTTTGCATCACATTTTCTTTTAGGTGCCCGCTTTATTTTGAGGTCCCCCTCTCCCACTGTAGAACATCGATATTGTGTTGAAAGTTTCCTTTGTTCCTGAGCTTCTGCAGCATTTCTTTACGTTCTTTCGAGTGAACAGGAAACGAGAATGCCTGCACAACTTCAAGTTCACCCATATGAGTTTTTAAATGGCGTGCTAACTTGAATTGAGGCTTCCCACAGATGTAGCAATAGTTCTTACACTTTGCTGAGCATGAGATTTTTGCAGACTGCACACACTGATCTTCAGCCACACTGCTTTCCTTCTCTGCCTCTCTCACTGTTCCGGTGCTTCTTGCATTCAAAAGTTTCTCATCATCATCCTTTCTATTTTGTGACTAAGGCAAAATAAGCACATCTGGGGCCTCATGTACGAAGACTTGCGTGGAAATCTTACTAAAACATTGCGTACGCACAAAGCTGCAAATGTGCGTACGCAGAAAAAAATTCAGATGTATGAAACACTGCGTACGCCGAATCTCACGCATATTCTTTTGTACATCTGAATGAACGTGAAACTGAGCGCAACATGCACGAGCACAAAACCCCTCCCTGCCTCCTCCCCCGTATGAATATGCTAATGACTATGCTAATGTCAAAACCCAACGAAAAAGCAATGGCAAAAGCAAGCAAAAAGAGAAACTTTGAACAGAATGTGAAATGGAGGTGCTGCTTTCGGAGGTAGACCGGAGAAAAGCGGTGTTATTTGCAAGTTTGTTCGGCGGAATTAACAACAAAAGAAAAAAAATAGAGTGGGAGAGTTTAGCTGATACGGTTAACACAGTTGGGTCTGAACATCGCACTGAGTGCATTTAAAAAAGAAATAGTGTGGTTTATATCTGTAAAATGTTGCAGTACCCTTAGCAGTCTCAGTGGCGCACCTCATAAGAAGCATATGATCATGTACTGACACGTTCGAGCATGAACTCGGCTCGAATCCAGCGTCTGATGAATTCATTCTTCTTTTTTTTCCCCGCTACATATCAGATTTTGCCCACTATTTATCACGAGAAAGACAAGTAGGAATCATCAATAAGTTTGTGCATCATATTTTATTTGCACATTTATTGAATGGAAATGTTTCTGATTCACGCATGCAAATTTATCTTCACATAGTTTCTTTATAGCAATGTGCGTGCAGTAGATAGCTCAGATTACATTGGGAAAACAGGCGACCGCTGCAAATTGTGCTTTAATGTTTAGCTGGTCAACTGTATGGTATGGAAATCTTACATACCTACTATATGAACCCGTCTCATACAGACGCCATTGCAAGGATCAGACACTTTGTAGAGAAGAATTTAACACAACTGCCTCTAGGAGTCGCCAATGGAAATAAAACAGACACGCACAAAAAATGTGCGTACGCCTGCCAGAAAGCTGCCGTGAACCTGCGCAAATTCCCACGTTTAGTTCATTGTTAGTAAATCCAAACGTGAGCGATTCTGAGCGTGAAACCTGGCGTACGCAAAGTTTTTGTGCGTACGCAGCGTTGATACATGAGGCCCCTGGTGACCTGTGCACCACTGAGCCCTGCTTTCTGGAAAGGAGATGTTCACCAGATTTGATAGAATCACTATCTGTCTCAGTTAGCTGCTCCTCATGACAGAGTAAATCAGGCTCTTCATGCACAATTCCTGCCTTCCTGGCCTTTAAAACCCCTTTTCCTCTGCACTTTGGTAAATTCAGGGGAGTTACATCTGACGTCAGAGGCTCACTAAACTTAGAGGTTGTAGCTTCCTGTATATCTGAAAGGAATTTCAATTGAACGTAACATGCTGGTCTTGCTGCAATGTCATCTGAACTGTCTGACTGATTGTCTGACTCGGACTGTGGTATGTACTCTTCATCTGACAGCTCATCTTTCTCTGAACTTACTTCCTATTATCAAGATGATTCTGATTAATTTTCAACACCTATAGCTGACAAAAATAAGATACAAAAGAATAGAATTAAAAATTCTCTTACCCGCAATGACCGTTTCTGATCCCATTCATGAAGTTTAAATAGCAGGACTATGAGAGAAATGTTATGTGTCAGGACATCTACAACTGCTAACATCCTATGCCTAAATGTAAACCCTATGATTGTTAATCTATTCAGATCTGTGCATTAACAATGAACCATACTATTTACAGCAGTTATACTATTTTAAGTTGGATTCATAACATAAACCAGTGAAACCAAAATGAATTGTTAAAACATGTCATGGTGCATATAGAACAAGATATCATACTAACATTGACATTTTAGGCCAAGCCACTTCTGTGCTGCTACAGGTCCCACACATTCAGCACATTTGTCCATACTCGATATTGCTGAAGGGACCACAATATGTTTGCAGACCTGTGAAGAAAAAAAAAACATCAGTGAATGAAAAATTAAAGCAAAAAAGATATTAAAGTGCACATAGTTTACCTCTTTTTTATGATTTAATACTAATATTATGGTTGTTCTGAGTGTGCCAGTTTAGGTTCAGTTCAACACATAGTTCAGATGTTTTTATTATAATGTGTTCAAAAGTGTCATGCTGGGGGCGTGTACACTGCTCGCTGTTTTAGGGGTGTGTTGCTTCACATGAAAATTTGTTTCGGCTTCCTGCCCAACATAACAAGGGGGTGGAGCCAAGATCTCCCACGCTCTGTGTTTGCAACAGACAGGCAGACTGAGAAAAGGAGCAGGAGTAAGAGGATCAGCATTTAGCCGTACATATACGACTCGGGACACAGACCAAGCAGAGAGTACAAAATCACTTGTGTCTTTGTATAGTTTTACAGCCAACTGTATGCTAGTTTCAAGTACCGAGCTTGTACATCAAGACTAATAACCACGCACACTGAATTATCTTTGACTGAGGCACAGGATGCGCCGCAACACGGCACACTAGACACTCTCTTTGTCGCACCATGAAGAATCGAATCATCATGCCAAGCATTTTAGAATTCTAAACATAGGTTTCTATCAGGGTAAACACAATGGCGGTTCAAGTCGGTGGTTGTCCGCGGTGCCCAGCCACCGACTTGAAGCTCCATTGTGTGTACTCTTATAGAAACCTATGTTTAGAATTCTAAAATACATGGCGCTGCGTCAGCATCGCACCACACAGAGCGGCGCTTCTGGTGTGCAACCTGCAGGCAAGTTTGTTATTTTATTAGCAATGGAGAGACGCGCACATGAGGCAATGCGCTTGCACTTTTCCAGCTACACCTAGTTAAGATCACAGAGAGCTTCTGTGACTGCAAGAAATGCAAACAGCTGAAGTTTAAGGTAGACACAATGAAAAGTATACGTTTGCAAACCTACCTAAGATACAACCAATAATTCCGATTAGAGCGATAATGTAGAGAGTATTTATCTTGTGTTGAGCACAATGAGCCTTGCATCTAAAAATGGAGCAAGGATGTTCCTTTAGTGACATCGCTTTGACACACGCTGAAAATGGCGGACGTGAAACAACAAACTAAGGATATGGTAGGATACTGTCAATCAATATTGGTGGGTGGGGGGACCGCACTCCTACGTCAAGTTGCGGTCGGTCTAAAATGGCTCCAATTGGTCCACCATTTTTATGTTGTTTAATTGAAAAAAAGGACTGTGTGTGTGTTTATATCAGCCCAATATGACGGTCTGTACACTAGACCTACACACGTCTGTCCGAACAGCTTAAAAAGTAGATTTTTTACCATAGGTGCCCTTTAAAACACGTGAAACTACCGTACATTATGAGCTGCATTGTCTTCCAAGAATCATTTAATGCATTTTCAGTGAAGGGCGTTGTGGTCAATTTGTCAAGATCACTTACAATTATGAAAGAATATTTACATCACAGGAGACTTTTGTCATTATTTGGGTATTTTATTACATATAATACATTACATTGAGTAGAATATTACATATTCTGAATGCCTTCAAATGAATTCAAATGAGGCATTTTAATATAGATTAATCTAGATAAATTCCAAGATTACAGTGAGATTAATCTAGATTTTAAAAAATAAGCCATGCCCAGCTATAATTTCTACAAATTAGCGTTGAGCTATGCCCACCTACATCTACTACAAATTAGGGCTGTGCAATAAATCAAAAACTCGGTTTCAATTTTGGCTTCTAATGATTATGAAAAAACATTTGTTGCTCTGCAAAGCTAAGTTTCACTTAAAAATTACTAAAAGCATGTGCTGTAATGTAACGTTTGCAGCACGGGATGCACGGGATATTATTCATTGATGCACATTCTAAAAATTCATGTTTTTAAAAGCGCGAGCGAGCATGCGGTCACAGTATGCGATCAGTATTCGGTCTCATTCGCAAACTGTGCCCCCAGCCACAGAGAAGAGCAGAGCACACACAACTAAAGTCATCTTAATGCGAGCATTTTATTGGTCAAATAGGTGTCAAAATACGGTGTTTAATGATTATTCATATTAACCCTCATTAGTGTAATAAATTAGTCGAGACTCAAAAGATATGTGAAAGAGAAACCAATATTCCAGCTGCCGCCTGCTTTTATTATTATTAATCAAACAACAAAAGGAGAAAATCACTCACTATTGACTAAAGAACTTTGGTAGCTAAAGTGTTTTTCTTTCAGTGAAGATGCTTAAAGCACAGATTGTTTCATATTTTTATTATACTGTATTTATTTCCCTTTTCTTTGCAGGGAGGAAAATGACTGTATATAAGCATTTGAAGTCAGAATTAATAGCCCCCCTAAATCATAAAAAGGGATTATTTCCCTTTTCCCCCCAAATTCAGTTTAATGGAAAGATTTTATTTTTATTGATGACAGTAAATATTTGACTAGATATTTTTTGAAATACAAGCATTCAGATTCAACGTGCGATTCAAAGGCTTGATTAGGGTTATTAGGCAAGTCGTTATATAACAGTAGTTTCTAGCCCTGCTACAAATTTTTATTCATGACTTTTATTAATGAAAGAGAAAACAAATCATTTTTCCTTTTTTTAAACTGCTTTTTTCCTCTAATAACTAAATGGCAGACCATGCAAATATGGACTTTTAAAGCCTTTACTGTTATGCAGGGGAAAAAATTGTTAATCCGAAACATAAATACCTCTTCAACTTCTTCAGCAGGGGCACAATATTTCTGCTTCTTATTTAACACATGCTCCTTGACAGGTGACATCTGAAAAGACACATGTAGAGAGGATTTTAGCCAGCAGCAATATAACTATTTTTTATTTTTTATTATGCAATGCAGATTTTATTACCTTGTCAACACAATCTAGATCCTCCGATGGTAAAATATTCATCTTTGGAGTTACCTGAAAGGATGTAGAAAAAATACGATAAACATTCTGTAGACAATGGATTCAGAAATTATCCAATTGTATAACTTACCTTTTCCGGTTCAACAGAGGCTGCAGAAACACTGGAGTCCACTGACACTGACTGATCACAAACAACTGTCAGCTAAAAACATAAGAAAAAAAAGTTATGAAGTAGATACCCAAGGAAAAGAAGGCAGATAATGAGAACAAATTCAGAATTGATGGCATGCCTAAAAACACAAAATAAATGAATACCATGTCTACATCTTTGACTTCTAACAGGCAGTGTATGTTGATTTCAAGAGGTGAAGGTTCAATCTCACTACAACTCTGTAAAATATAGAAATATAAACATGTAAAATTGACTAAGACAATAATATGCATAAAATACTGACTTCAAATTTAATTTAAAATGGCAAAAATAATATCATTATAAAACAAAAATAAAATAAAAACACCACACCTCTGTCTCTCTGATTTCTGAATCTGAGATTGTGTTGATTTCAGGGGGTGGTTCAACCTTACAAGGAGTCTAAAAAAAATTAAAATAAACTTAAGAATCATTGGCAGCATTAAAATTGTTGGGTGGATAACTTCAAAAAAGGTAAATTACAAAGTACTAGTTTGATCATGACAGCAGACCTAAAATTACTTCTCTAATTACTTATTACTGAAAAATTATTTTATTATTGAACTCAAAACCCCTTTAAACAACAACAATTTTTTTTTAAATTCACGTCAAATATAGCCTTTAGCTTTTAAACAATTTATAGTAAAATATATGAATTTACAGCATTTAATGCACGGTAATCATAAGTAACTAATTCCTTTGATCTAATAATTTACTTTGTTTTCAGTTGAAAAGTAATTGAATTATAGAAAGTAGTTACTTTTACAACAACAAACGCTGAACATAAATATGATCTAGAACACACAAAAAAAAATACATACATACCTCTCTCATACATACATACATACATACATACATACATACATACATACATACATACATACATAGAAAATAAAAGAAACAACAGAAAATTAATACCACCTTACATCTTTGACTTCTGGCTGGGAGAGAGTGTTGATTTCAAGAGGTGGTGGTTCAACTTTACAATAAATTTGTGCATGTAAGATGTAAAACTAATTTATAATCTTGCTTAAAATGTAGGTATGTAATATACAAGATATGAGTATTTCAATCTTTAAGTGTCACAAAATAATATTCATGTTTTTTACAAGGACCCTGCTTTAAGAAGAACACTATAAGAACATGTTTCTGATGGCAAGTTGATGTGTGTGTTTGTGTTTACACCTGTATTAAAAGCATCCTGTTCTATGAGGACCTCCACAAGAACATGTTGACTTGACTGACGATTCTTAGTAGGTTCTGATTTGATTTGACAAAAGTCTGGGGCATGTTCTTCATATGTGGATTACTGAGTTAGCTGGATTTGATTATTATTATATTCGTCAAAACTCATCCAGGATTTTTTATCATAATAAGAGGTCCTTGTAGATTAATACTTTTCTAAAGCAGTTTATTTCATATTGGATTGGAGTGATTTTAAGCAAGGGTGCTACTAAAAGTCTTTTCGTGTTAGTGAACTCAGCCACATGGGGTATAATAATAATAATAATAATAATAATAATAAATATTATTATTATTTTGTATTAAAATAATTACCTCAAACAAAAATACATTGTATACTCCAAATAAAATGTTACATTAAAAACAACAAAATGTTAGCTACAGATTTGCTGTATTGCAAACATGTAGATATTATCACAATATTGATAAACAGCTTGTTCTATTACTCTGCATTGTTGTGGTCTATGGATTAAATCAGCTGAAAGAAGGGAAGAAGACAAAATGTGCTGCCAATTAAATATCAAATTTAAAAGGGGACTGGCAATCCCAAATTATTGCACATTTCATGGAGTAAAAGCTAATTGAAAAACATTAGGGGGCTGAGTAGAATTTTAGGTGGGATAAAGCTACTTAATCTATGCAGTTTAATGTACTCCTTATAAGCATGGTCATCAAATATCAGCCTTTTATCAAAGAAACTTAAATCAAACATTAGAAACACGTTCTTATGAAGGTCTTCCTAAAAAATGCTCCTTTTAACACAGGTGTAAACACACACACACCAACCTGCCATCAGGATCATTCCTAAGAAGGTCTCCTTAAAACGGGGTCCTCCTAATACAGGTGTAAACACACACACATGCACACAACCCAACCTGTCATTATTAGGAACTTGTACTTAAGAAGGTTTTCCCTAAAACAGGGTCCTCTTAATACATATGTAAACACACACACAGCAACCTGCCATCAGGAACGTTCCTAAGAAGGTCTTCCTAAAACAGGGTCCTCTTAATACATATGTAAACACACACACACAGCAACCTGCCATCAGGAACGTTCCTAAGAAGGTCTTCCTAAAACAGGGTCCTCTTAATACAGGTGTAAACACACACACACACATGCACACAACTCAACCCACCATTGAGAACTTGTTCTTATGAAGGTCTTCCTAAAACAGGGTCCTCTTAATACAGGTGTAAACACACACACACACACACAGCCCAACCTGCCATTATGAACATGTTCTTTTCATGGTCTAATACTGATGTACACTTACACTGAAATACCAAAATGAACTTGAATGCATAATTATGTAATGCATAAGCAGTAACTAACAATACATTATTGATCACCTAAAAATGTTAATTACTTCCCCTCATTTCATTCCCAACATGAGACATTTATTGATCTTCAGAACTAAGCGTGTCACAATAATCAATCAATTGACTTAACGCACAACACATGGCCATGACCTCAATAATTTTTAGTAATATATATATATATATATATATATATATATATATATATATATATATATATATATATATATATATATATATATATATATATATATATATATATATATATATATATATATATATATATATATATATATATATATATATATATATATATATATATATATATATATATATATATATATATATATATATATATATATATATATATATATATATATATATATATATATATATATATATATATATATATATATATATATATATATATATATATATATATATATATATATATATATATATATATATATATATATATATATATATATATATATATATATATATATATATATATATATATATATATATATATATATATATATATATATATATATATATATATATATATATATATATATATATATATATATATATATATATATATATATATATATATATATATATATATATATATATATATATATATATATATATATATATATATATATATATATATATATATATATATATATATATATATATATATATATATATATATATATATATATATATATATATATATATATATATATATATAT